ATCAAAGGCTTCGAAGAGGATGTTGGGACCAAGATCTCCTTCTACGGCTTCACGGTGAACACCATGAAGAACTCCCTCATCGCCTACGAGGAGTACGGCTTCACCCAGATACCCCAGGGCAAGGTGAGACCCCAAGGGGACCCCAAATTATCCCTTGAGTCTGTGCTTACCCCCCAAACCTTCTCCCCACCTTGGGAGCCATCAGTCCTTGCCCTGTTGGCGTGGGCAGTGCCCCAAAGCCCCCCCACCAAGCACCTTGTCTTGTTTCCCCCCTGCAGGAGCTGAGGTACATCTTCATCCCCTCAGACGTCCGTGACTACGTCATGCTGAAGTCGGCCATCCAGGGCAGCCCCGTCCCCGAGGGCTCGGACAAGGGAGACAATTTGGTCCCCCCAGCACCTTCGGCGATGCACTGGAGGGAGCACAAGTTGCCCTCATCCTGCATCTGCCCCTGGGGGCGATAAACCCCAAGCAGCTCCCGTGATGTGAATTCTGCCCTTCTCCTCACCCCACTGCAGGCCACAGAAGTATTTTGGACCGGAGGCATCTGCAGAGAAGTTCAAGCTGCTGCATCCTGATTTCTTGCAGTACCTGACAGCCAGGTGAGGATGCCGAGGACCATGTCTGCTGCCCAAGCTCTGCTCCAGTCTGGGCTCAGACCGCCTGCCTCCCACCACTGCTCTCTCCAGTACAGACCAGTGGCTGCCCAGCATCAAAACACAGTCCCAGTCCCCCCCAGGCACTTGACCCACCCCTGCATACAAGGCAGAGACATCTCTCTGCCGCCAGTTGTTGCAACACGGCTCACACCCTCTTCTGCACCTCCCTGCACTCAACTTGCCTCCCATTTCCCAAAGCGCATTAAATCGTGGTGGGAGCAGAGGCAGGGCCCAAAGGGATTGTCTTCTTCCTGCCTTTCATGAAAGCAGGCACCTGGGTCGGGGTGATTTCAGACGGTGGGGAGTTGCTTTTTCCAACCTGTAGCAAACGAGCTGAACCTCAGCAGAGAACCCGCAGGAGCCCAGCGTTTTGCTCGGTGCTCCCGCCTTACTGGTGTCACTGGTAGGGGCTGGATGGGTGCTGGGTGCTGCTGGGTTGGGTGCTGGGGAGACCCCCCACTGACCAGCTGTGCCCACCGGCAGGTTCCTGCGGTCGGAGCTGCTGGACACGCAGTACAGCTCGCTCTACATGCCCAGCACCGGTGCTCTCATGCTCCTCACCGCCCTCCACACCTGCGACCAGGTAAGAGGCCACGGGGCCACCTTCCCCCTGGGGACAAGAGGGTGGGCTGGCGAATAGCTGCTCCTGATGGGGGCCAGCGTGTGCTGGTGGCTGTCCTACACACGCCACGCTCAGTCGCTGGAGAATGGGGGGCTGGCGTATGGACCTCCCGAGGTGACCCTGTCCCTTGTCTGCCTGTCCCACCTCCGTCCCCACAGGTCAGTGC